GGATAGAAAAGGTCCATTATATAAGATGAATAAGTTCTAGAGCTCTGATGTACAACTTTTTGTCTATAGTTAACTGTGTTGTATTGTGCACTTAAAAAAATTAAGGGGTGCAATCTCATATGAAGTGTTTTTACCATAAGTAAGAAAAGAAATAAAACTTAAAAAGCATTGTTTATCATGACAAGGTAAGACAATATACAACATTTCCAGATTTCAGAGAAAATTTGACAAAGAACTGAAATGCATTCATTGTATTTATCAGTAGGATGATAGACAAGCTATAAAGAACTGGCTTCAGTGGTGGAGGAAAAAGCTGAATTGGAAAGGGCAAAAGAATGGGAGATGTTGGAAGCAATAGACAAAATTTCTAGGAATTTTGGCTTCTACTATGAGTTTTGTTTTATGCACATGCATGTATCTACTACTAATATATGATAAGTATTACACCTGAAAACAGTTTTCCAGCTTGAAATTTTGTGTGAAACCAAAATTTTACCATTAATAGCATATTTTACTTGCTGTATAAATTCACCAAGATAGAATCTGATACTGGGCAGAAACAATTCTGGTTTTCAGGTAGGTTTCTGGATTATTTTGGCTATATTTATTGTTTCTTCTTACTTTTCAAAGCAAACATCTTCTGAATGCTTCTTAAACTTACTTATGGAGTCAATGAGTCCATCACATACATAATTTTTTAAATGCAAAGTCATATTTATTTGGTTTTACAACTGAGGCTTAAAAAGAATATGGACATTGTCCAAGGTCTCATAAGTTAGTTACTCAGGATTTAAGTTTTCCTTTCACAAAACTTGAATTTTTTTGATGAACTAAGATTTATAATCTTTTCATGTTGTTTCTAGTAGTATAGTATACTTTTTGCCTTCATGGAAATTGTCTGATTGGTATACTTAAAGTATGATTCCTTCAGGAATACAGATAACTAAAAGATTTTTTTAACCTTCCCAATATAATTTGTCCAACTCATGTTAACTTGAGAAACATAAGAAAGGAAATATTACAGCTTTTGGACATCTCCAGACATTCAAGCTTAAACCCAAAGGGATCTAGGAGCTAATAAATCACCCAAACAACTTCAGAATGAGCTCACTGGGAGCCAAGCTCATCGCTAAACAGGTGAGTCATGGAGTTTGTATATGGAGTGAATCACCAATGCTCTACCTGTAGCCAGGCTTCCCATTAGAAATCTCTCTCCATTGATGAGTTGTGCTTCTTGATGGAATTAGTCTGGCTTTTAGAAGCTATAAACACCCTAACTGCATTTCTTATTTTCAAACTGTTTATTTTCACACTCTTTGGTTTTCAGTAGTTTCTAAAGGATGTCTGTTTCTTTCTTCGTCTCCAGTTCCCTGTCTTTCCTTCCCTCCCCTCCCTTCTCTGTCTGTCTCTCTCTCACACACACACTCGATAAATGACTTCATATTGAGTTATCTAGATAATCTAAAATCACCCTCTGTCCTACAGTAGTACCCACAAAAACTAGTTATTATATTATATTTCTCAAAGGAGGAGAAATATAAGGGCAGGTGGGCTTTTCTGTCTAAAATTCCCTTATGAGAATGGGTGACCAAGAATGGTTCTACACTTAAATGCTGGTACAGTATCTTTCTATATTTGGCCTTTGGAAACACCAAAAATATTGTAAAAATTTCTCTCTTACATAAAGAATTGATACTCACTGTAATTTTTGAGTCCTGACATAAAATAGAAATCCACTGGATTTCATTTTTCTAATACTGCTTCTCAGAAGAGGTGCTTGGCCTCAAGAAAGGATTTAAGGCAATCATACTCACAGTAGTGCTTCCTAACCCTTTTTTAATGTCATGTTGTGTCATTGGCATGTATTTTGGGAAACACAGAGGGAGCATCTGATAGCCAAAGAAGTCACAACATTTACACATCTGTACACCTGTACACCTACTGTCCTAGTGATGCTTCATGTGCCTGTGCAGGCTGGTAAGCTCTGGGTAAGAAACCAAGGTTGGTAAAGTCCTGGAATGAAGGAAGCTTGGCTTAGAAAAGCCACACAGACCCTTATAAAGCAGGGAGCAGGCCTGGATAAGACCAGGCAGTGAGTAAATCAGGAAATGACTAATAGAGCAGTGGATAGGACAGAAGAAGTTTCCCAATGACTATTTCTTTCTTCCCTGATTATTGAATCTTTTGCTGTGCTTTGCCATCGAGTTAATTGCCAAAGTATGTAGACACATCAGAGATATGTCCCTAATCTTTAATAAGCAAGGCAAATCCTTTAAGAATTAGTATAAAAGAGAGCTTTAATGTGCTCTGCAACTGTGTTTTGAGAACCTCGATGGGTAAAATGGAATCTACAAAGACTGATGAGGAACCAAATAAATGAAGTGGCTCATTTTGAAAAACAGTATCCAACTACCAGAAAGACTAAAAATGATAATTACTAATTAATTTTGGTGTTCAAATAGCTGAAAATGACAAGTATTTGCCTCATTATACATAGTTAAGTAAACATCTAAAACTTTTTGTCAATACTTTAAATAGTACATAGATGTAATTTTTCATGTTAAAAATATTGACTTTCATATATATATGAATTTATATGTACACATATATGTATACATACACACATACACATATATACCTTGAGTTGAATGTATCAAAAATAGTGTAATATTATGGTAATCAATAGTTACCATGTCTTTTGAAAGTACAGAGACTCCTTTGTAAAATTAGATAGTATAGGGAATTTTTTTCTTTCTCCTTGAATTCATTTGTCCATTCACCAAAAGAAAAAGTAAACTTAATATAATATTTCTTTGTGAAAACTATTTCCTTGGTTATTTTGCCTTATTCCTCTAAAACACAAATACACACATACACACTGTTTGGAATTTTATTCTTATAGTGATGTATTTTACAGGTTTTATATGTTAATAGTAATAAAATATTTCTATTTGAGTTATAATCACAATTAAATGATTAAAATAACCTATATATTTACAATGTTGATGAATAATTATTCAATACAGATTTCATTTGAAATTTATCTTATTAATGAGATGGGGGTATATTTATGGGGTCACATGAAAGGAATTGTGTAAATGCCCAAATGTTGGAGCAAGGAATCATAACATGATTCCAGATAAATGAGAGATATGCCTTGCATTTGTAAACTGTGAGAAGTGTGGATTTTGAAAAGGGAAGACAAAAACAATAAACAAAAAGCCAAGAGCACAGGTGCTTTCTCAGGCAAATGATTTTCAGAAAGGAGGAGATAAAAAAATGGAGGAATTGAAAATTAATTTTCTTCAAACTATTCTTGTCTACATAACCTTTGGTGAGTCTTTTTACATGAGTAGAAATAGCCATACTCCAATTTGAATTCCACTGGCATGGTGGAGTCATTGGTACTCAAACTAGATCAGGAAAAAAAAAAAAACCTCAAAAGAAAAATAAAAGTAAGTTTGAAAGTATGGCTGATCTCTGCTTGTTATTCTTATGAATTTGTTCTTTAGGCTACTTATTCCCAAATATGTCTGTATATTGGAACCCCCTGGGGGGGCTTTACAAATACTGATGCCTAAGTGCTGCCCAGATGTTCTGATTAAATTGGTAGGGGTTGCCTAGGCATGGAGATGTTAAAAACTCTATAGGGGATTCCAACGTGCAGTTAAGCGTGAGTCAGAATTCACTTTAGGAGGGATGCAATGAAGCAAGAAACAATAGTGCTTATGAGATAAATCTTTAGGTGAAATATGTCAATGATTTTGATGATTTCCCCTCGAAATTGACAGAGATGTGGAAATGATGGAATAATTAGTAAGACTTTGAGACAGTGGTTGCTTTAGAACAGCCTATAGCAACTAAATGGATGCTACAGGAAAAATTTACTTTTAAAAAATTAGAAGAATTGGTAAAATAATCCAGAGAGTTTTAAGGTAGATGCAAAACCGTAAATGCCTTATTTTATGGGCACTCTAACAAATACTTGTAGGCAATTTTGTTTCTAGGTGGTATAAAAGTAACTTGAGTTTGGAATCCAGGCTCCACCTTTATATGCAACTCCACTGTAAACTTTGTTTTCTACCAGTAATGTGGCACATAAATATTCCACATAATAGTAAATAACTACAATTATTCTGAAGCATGCTTCAAGAACTCCACCTCCCCATACATATTTCCATAAAACTTTGCTTGCAACTAATTATTTCCTTAGGATTTGTTACTAAAAATGAAACCTACTAGAGTAAGTGTTTTGGATATTTTTAATCGCTTGGAATATATTAACATGTTTATGGGGGAAAGAAGTTTATCTACCTGTAGTTTAAAATAATAAGTTATCTGATAAACTACTTAATAAATGTTAATTCTTTGGACAGCAAACTTTAAAATGGTGAATTTTCAATTGGAAAAAATCATAAGTCTAATTCCTATGCAAATAAAATCCTGTGTTTTTTTCATATTTCTGATTAATTTTCTTTTAGCTTTTACAGCTTCAAGTACATATTCTATATATAGAGGAGAGGATATAGGAAAGTAAGTAAGTCATAGTAGATTAGTTTGATATTTTTTAAGGCTGTGGAAGCATGCAAATAAGTTGAAGAAGGGAAATATTAATATAGCTTCATTTATGAGTTACATATTTCTGTCCTGCCATATTTATAAGTAAAAGGAAGAGATGGTGGCAGCAAAAATGCTGAAATATTAGTGTTAGTTGTCTCAAGTGTTTTTTCTCAGGTAGTACTGAAATTTTAACCAGCAGCCTTCCATATTCTCTAAAATTATAAAACAAAATAATGTTCAAGAAGGCTATTCTGAGAGTGTGGGACTTCACTCTCTGAGATAAGAATGCATGTCATCAGAGAGCTAAGGTGTACTTTTTGTCCACAAAACAACATGGTTCAAGGCAAGAAGACAGCAGTGATCACCTTTTGCCAACATTGGCTGAAGCCATGAGACATTCATTGGTATTCTTCAGCTTGCAGCAAAATTCACTGAAATAAATGGCTGATGTCAATATCACCTATGTCACTGAGTTCATTCTCAAGGGAATTACAGATCGGCCAGAGCTCCAGGCCCCATGCTTTGTGGTGTTTTTCATCGTCTATCTGGTCACAGTGGTGGGAAACCTGGGTTGATAACTTTAATCAGGATTGACTCTCGACTCCACACACCTATGTACTATTTTCTCAGTCACTTGGCCTTTGTGGACCTTTGCTATTCTTCTGCTATCACACCAAAGATGATGGTGAATTTTGTTGTGGAACTCAACATTATTCCTTTCCATGCTTGTGCAACACAACTGGGCTGTTTTCTCACCTTCATGATCACTGAGTGTTTCCTTTTGGCTTCTATGGCCTATGATCGCTATGTAGCTATCTGTAGTCCCCTACACTATTCAACCCTGATGTCAAGAAGACTCTGCATTCAATTAGTGGCAGTTCCATATATATACAGTTTTCTGGTTGCCCTGTTCCATACCATTATCACATTCCGTCTAAGTTACTGTGGCCCCAATGTAATTAACCACTTCTACTGTGATGACCTCCCTCTCTTGGCTCTGTCCTGCTCAGACACACACATGAAGGAAATTCTGATCTTTGCCTTTGCTGGTTTTGATATGATATGTTCCTCTTCCATTGTGCTCACCTCCTACATCTTTATCATAGCAGCCATTCTAAGGATCCACTCTACCCAGGGGCGACGCAAGGCCATTTCCACCTGTGGCTCCCATATGGTGGCCGTCACTATTTTCTATGGAACCTTGATCTTTATGTACCTACAGCCCAAATCAAATCACTCCTTGGACACAGACAAAATGGCATCTGTATTTTACACAGTGGTGATCCCAATGTTGAACCCCCTGATCTATAGTCTAAGGAACAAAGAGGTGAAAGATGCATCAAAGAAAGCCTTGGATAAAGGTTGTGAAACCTTAAATCTGTTAAAATTAAGAAAATAATGATAAATACTTTATAATATGCAAGAAGGTAAATAAATCCCACTTCTTTCTGATGACATTTCTTTTATTCTTTTCTAATGGATTGAAAATGTAACTGCACTTCAGCAGACCTTGACCTTTTCCACAAGAACCCAAGCCTGGGTCTGGAAGTCAGTGTGATTCAAAGAATCCCATTCAGACCATTGCAGCCTTTATAGACCACTGAAATTATGGTCAAGTACACCCTCAAACACACATCTGTGTATCTCAAGCAAAGGAAGTAGAATGTTTTTGTTAGAACTTAATACTCTGGAAGTAGGGCTGCCTGAGTTTGAATGCTATGCTCTACATTTATTAGCCACCTTGGACTATTGACTTAAAAAATACTTTAAAAAATACTAAAAAAAATATTATGACTCTGTCTCTAATTCTGGAAAGTAAAAGGACTGAATTCATTGGTTTGTTTTAAAGATGAAACGAGTCAATATTATGAAATTCTTACAACAACATCCTGTGATAAGTGCTATGTATGTTTTTACCATATAAGTGTTGTTTGTTGTATATAATTAAAGATAAATTCATTGAGTTCTGAAAGGCTTATCAGTCTTGAAGAAAGAGGAACAAAGTTTGGTTAGGTTTCTACTACCTTCCAGGCAATCAAGTAGTATCAAGTAGTACTAGTTAACACAATCAAATAAGCCTAAGAAATGTCTAAGACTTTACCTGTGGGCCTAAATTATGTATAAAATGCCTAAGTTCACATAACTAATAATGCAACAATTCTTAATGTAAATTTAAGTCTATCTGAATTTTGCTTCCTTGACAATAGATGTTAATAAAGGTATTGCAACATAGGTAATCTAATCTTAAATGTGTCATTATCAGATTTTTAAAAATAGTGGGAAGACATTTGTGTATAAGAAATTGTGTTATTGGGATCCCTGGGTGGCGCAGCGGTTTGACGCCTGCCTTTGGCCCAGGGCGCGATCCCATATCGGGTTCCCGGTGCATGGAGCCTGCTTCTCCCTCTGCCTATGTCTCTGCCTCTCTCTCTCTCTGTCTCTCTGTGACTATCATAAATAAATAAAAAAAAGAAATTGTGTTATTAAATGAATGAATGAGTTCAACGTACCTATACATTTGTTCAAATAGAAATGATCTTAAGTTATAATGTTATCTATCTATGCCTGCTATTTATTCGACTGCCCTTGTAGATTTGAGACATGAAATTTGACAAAAATAGCAATTTGTAAGATTTTATAATTTTTTTAATGTTTCATAAAAAGCAATTAAATTAGTTTTTAATGTTATTATTTTACCATTTTAGAAGGAAATTATGATAGTTTCAGCAATTATCTAGAATATAGTTTGAGGTTTGTAATGCAGGTGACTATTTCCTCTTCTGTTTTTAATTTGTAAATAACTCAGACATGCTGCTAGAGGTGCTGTGAGAATCATGTGAGTTGAATGGATTCTTATATTTTTAAAGTAGGTTTGATGGAGAAGTGTGGTGTTTCTATTCACTACACTCTTCCTGGTAGATGTATGTTTATATGAATAGATACACACATTCTCATATATCACATACAAAACACATTAAAAACATCTTAGCCAGTCTCTTTCAGCAGGTGAGGAAATTTGGACCTATAAATCTTGACACTTCTTTCTGTTTCACATGATCGTTACACACAATGCTTAAGTGCTAATTGAAATGACATTTTCATTTTTTTATACAATTGTAATTCCTTCCTTTTAGTAGTCACTTCTTAAGGCAAACCTGGCTTTTCTCAGGGATGTGGACTAAGAAATTCAAGTATACTTGACAGACTTCTTATTTAGTTTCTTGTTGGGCAGATGCACACAGGTCTGTGCAGCCTCCAAGACTATACTCCAACAACTGCTCTAGGTGCCTGGGGTCATCCTCTCAGTCAAAATATTAAAATCAGAGCAGCTGGGTGTCTCAGTTGGTTAAACATCTGACTCTTGATATCAGTGCAGGTCTTGATCTCAGGATCTCAATCTCAGGGTCATGAGTTCAGGCTCTGCATTGGCCTCCATGCTGGGTAGAGAGCATACTTTAAAAAAATGGCATTCTCCATTTTGTCTCCAGGCGTATTTAAATAAAATGTTTGTATTTTGACCCTTCCTTCTGTTGTCTCTATGGTGTTTTTGTGAAGGGATATAGAATTAAGGAGCTGATTAAAAAAATTAAAAGCATATAATCCATCTTGGCTGTGTTCAAAATTAGTGAAGAACATGACTCATTTCAAAAGGTTTGGCCCCAGACGTGAGGCTTGTTACTCTTACTCTTGTGGCATATAAAGCTCCAGTTACTTATAAAATAAGGAAAATACTCATCTCTCAAACTAGTGTATGAGCACTTAGCAATATATATGAGAACCATGGTACAATCATTGGCACCTAATTTGGGGTTGGTAAATACCAGCTTTATTACCATCATCAGTGACATGGACCATCCCTGAAGACATGTTCCTATAGATAAAGGATATTTTTTGTAACTATAACTGATTAGTGGTTTACATTGAATAAAAATCCAAGCAATTGTCTTGTTATATTGATATTAAAAGTTTTAGATTTTCTATTAGATTTTCTTATTTTGGGGGTGTCTGGGTGGCTTAGTCAGTTAAGTGTCTGCTTTTGGCTCAGGTCATGATCCCAGGGTCCCAGAATGGAGCCCTACATAGGGCTTCCTGGTCTGCGGGGAGACTGCTTCTCCATTTGCCCTTTTCCTTGCTTGTACTCCCTCTCTCTCTCTCTCTCTCTCTCTCTCCCTCTCTGTGTGTGTGTGTGTGTGTGTGCGTGTGTATCAAATAAATAAAATCTTTAAAAATATTTTCTTTAATTTGGCTACTCTTCACTTTTTTTTTCAGTTTTTTGATTGAAGACTTACTTGTCCTAAGAAGAACTGTGCTGTTTATGTATAACTTGTTTTATTTGAACAAAAAGCCATTGCTCAGTTCTAAAATTTTTGCACTAACACAATAATATTAATAATAATACAAGTAAAAATAGATGACATTTATTATGTGTTCACTGTTGTTTGGCCTAATTCTATGTGTTCAGCATTTATAAACTCCTTTAATATTCTTATCCATACTAAGAAATAAGTCACACACATAGAAATTTGATATGTGAAAATTGGATTTACAAGGTCGAGAAATTAAATTGTCTTTTACCTATTTTACCTTCCAAAAGAATAATTTAAACCTGTACAAAGTTAAAATTCCTTAGAAACATGCTTTAACTAAAATAGTTCAATTGTTTTAGAGGCACAAGATTTTCAGGAATATATGTAGAATGTAAGTCTTCTGATAAAGATAATGTAATTTTTTGTAATACTTACTTCTAACTCCCTCGTAGTCTCTCAATTATATTTCTTATTTATGTATTAGTTCAGAGGAACCCATTTTTCTACATTTTTTGACCTCAAAACAATAACAGTAGAATGTAATCTATGAAGAAGAACCACTAGTGATTATATATTTATAGACTCTTTCCCTGCTCAGGACTTCTTTTTGGCACTAAATTTGGTCACTAAACAATTTAACTAAAACATAGGATATCGGCATTTTATTATGTATGTATTCATACAGATTGAGGATCATTCAAGATAACTTCCTAAAAGTCTCAATTTATTCATTTTTATTTTTAAAAGATTTTATTTATTTATCTATCTATCTATTTATTTATTTGAGAAAGAGAGACAGAGAGAGAGAGAAAGACAGAGAGAGAGAGAAAGAGAGACAGAGAGAAAGGAGCAGTATGGGGAGGGGCAGAGGGAGAAGCAGACTCCCCATGGAACAGCGAGCCAGACACAGGGCTTGATCCCGGAATCCTGGGATCAGGACCTGAGCTGAAGGCAGATGCTTAATCCACTGACCCACCCAGGAACTCCTTTAAAGTCTCAATTTATAGACAAGAAAATTGTGCTTCCATTTGCTAAGGTCCATAAGTTCTAAACCAAGGCAGGTTCGCAATAGCAAACCTATTTTTGTGACATCAAAGTGTGGAAGTGAAATATGGCTAAGCTTTATGGAAACTGTTAATAATCTGACTTTTCAGAGAGATGGAAGATTCTTAGAAACATTTGAAGCTAACATCACTGGTAGGTAAAGGGATGATAAAGGCAGGAGGTCTTCAGCTCCATATGTGATGACCTTTCTCTCTACTCTTTTTTCCAGAGTTTATGAACAACAGGGGAGATATATTTTCTGTGCCAGACTAAGGCTCATATATCTTTCCAATTATTTCTTAAACTTGTGAAATTTTAATTTAAATCTGGACTTTAGGTGACATTTTCGTGAATCACCATTCAGTATTTTAAAAATCCCAACATTGTATAACTGTAGTTGGAAATAGAAGATAGCCATTAAAAAATGAAACTTCATAGCTGGACAAACGTGACCACAAATCTTGTCCCCCCCCCCAATTATTAGGTGTGCATTGTGTTAATGAATTACATAAACTGTTTTGATTTTTTTTGTTGTTGTTTTTTGTTTTTAGATACCTGTCTCAAGTAGGGTGCTAGGAAAATTAACTGAGAAATTAGTTAATGTAACTAAATTAGAGCCCTTCTGTAAGCACCTGACACATGGAAAAACATTCAGTAGAAAGACAAACTGAATATGATTTTGCTAATATGTGGAATTTAAGAAAGAAAACAAAAAAGGAAAAAGGGAGATGAAACAAACTATAGAACAAATTGATGGTTACCAGAGGGAATATGAGTGGGAGGATGGGTGAAATAGGTGTTAGAGATTTAAAAAAAAAAATCAGTGTTAGTGCTACTTTTACTTTGAAAAGTTTCAAACTAAATAAATTCATTATTTATTTGTCTATTCATTGCTAATGGTAACAAAAGTAGCTTAATTCTTTCTTCAAGAAAAGAGATGCTTATTTTAGTAGCAGGAGTGAAGGAGCCTAAAAATTTCAATTTAAAATATCTTCAGAAATACATGATACAAAAGGAAATTTGAAAGAATTGAATTTTTTTAAAGATC